GTACTTAATTTGAAGTTGAATTTACGATGCCTGAGCAGCGTAACCACTGCCTCTCTTTTTTAGAGTGGACACTGCACGATTGTACAAAGCAATGGCCACCCAGCAAGGATCCTCTTGAATGGCTCTTGTATACATCTCGATACTCTCAACAAGCTTGCCTTGATCACGAAGTCTGTTGCCAGATCTGATGTAATGGTAGACCATAGATGAGGGGGACCGTTTAGACTGCAGTTTTTTCAATGCACTTTGCAAGTATTCTCCTAACTGCTGCCTCAGTGTCTCTATAGGTTCATCCTCTCTGAATTTCATCAAGAGCCACATGCCCCAGCACTCATGAAGTGAAGACACTGTGTCCTCACGGCTGCTGGCACACAGATCCTGGTTGTAAATGGTGTCCAGCATGTCAAGGTAGTCAGAAAAGAGCACCTCTTTTTTGGTGATTTTTGGAATGTCTTTTTGAAGAAAACTTGATTTATTGATTTCTACCACTGTATCCCGGGCATGTTTGGCCACCTCAAGGGTGGTTGAACCTACTGGCACTTGAATGCTGAGTAAGACTTTCAGGGTATATGCCATTGCCTCACAGTTCTGGTTTTTAGGATTTTTTCTGATAAGCTTTAAAGGCTTCTGCAAACATATTCTCAGTTAATTTTGATGGAAGAAGAGTGGATGTGACTCATTTCATGATTCAGGCAGCTCAGTATTGAGAAGAGAGATGTTTGAATCTTCATCACATGTTTGAGTGATTCGGAGAAGTGACTGGAGCATATGATGAGCCGAGCCGATCCTGGGCTTCCTTGCCGTGCTGTACGACCAAAGGCTTGGTTCTCCACACGTGTGTTTAGGGGCAGAAAGGTTTGTAGCACAAACAACTCTGTTACCTTAGAGTTGTCCATGTTGTTGTTTGTGTAGAGTTTCGGTTTTTCTATTGATATTATTTCTGTAAGGGCTCTGTAGTAAGTTTCTGCTTGCTTAATAGTTTCACAGATTGTACTATTTACAATTAAATATAGGGTTTAAATGATTTGCCACAACTTTTCCAAGACCTCTGATATAAAAGAAAGATTAGAGATAGGTCTATAATTTGGTAGCTTTCTTAATCAGAGGTCTAATTACTGCTAGTTACTGCTAGTAGACTTTTTGAAATATAGCTAAGGCTAAGAGAAGTTTACTATTGACAGAATAGGCTTGGTTATTTCTGGCAAAATTTCTTTGAGTAAACCTGCAGGAATTGGATCTAATATGCAAGTAGCAGATTTTGAAAAGGAAATAATTTTAACTAGCTCTGCTTGTTGAAGTAAGGTAAACGATTCCAGCCTCTCTGCAATAGTTACAATATTCTCAAGATCTGGATTGGCCTTGTAAGGCAGCAGGTTTGTAGGGTTTAACTGTGTGTTCTGAAAAATTCATAAAATCATTGCTGCTATAGACTAATAGCATCTGGGGTTCAGTAACTGTTTGGTTCTTGGTTAATTTAGAAATTGTGCTAAATAATAATCTAGGATTATCCTTATTGTTTTCTATGGGAGAGGAGAGATAGGTTGAGCGTGCTAAAGTAAGTGCCCTTCTGTAGTCGATAAGGCTCTCCCTCCAGGCGGACTGGAATACTACTAGTTTAGTCAGGCGCCATTTTCACTCTAGTTGTCTGACAGTCTGTTTTAAAGCTAGAGCAGTCAGTACTCCAGGCAGAAGAACAATCGTTGTTTTTCTATAATTTCATGTGGTAGTTTAATTTGTGTTAATTCAAATATGCATATCAGTTCATAATATGTGGAGGTATTTACAAAACTGTGAACTACCAAAATGGGTCCTACCCTTTTAGTGACATTCATATCTTCTCACATTAGAAAGCTATTCTTACTAGCCTGTATGATCACGCTTTGGCATAGTTGTCAGTGGACAGTCTCTTTATTTAATGTAATTAAACATACTAAAATGTTATGTAAAATATTAAACCTAATTGTACATTTCTGGATTGTTTTGCATTTTGCAGGGATCATGTCAAAGTACAGAAAAAAACTCTTTTATATAGACACATTTTAGGTGTAATGTATTTACACCTAAGAAGTAAGAGACTGAAACATACAATTGCTCAGTGCCAGGTACTCCTTAAATGTAGCTTCTAGATGAATGGCGTCATGTCTGTGTATCAAATTTGTGTGGCCCAGCATACATGGCTGTATAGCAGCAACTGGCAAAAACAATGTGAAAAGTAAACTTTGTGTGCTCTGCTATTGAATGCCACAAGTACGTGATATAAAACTCTACACTGTAAAAAAATTATGCAGTTCTTAAATTCAATAAAATAAGTAATTGGGTTAGCTCAAATTAAATTGAACTTGTAATATTAATTTAACAGAAGGATAATTTGTTTTACATCTGTTAATCCAATAGTATTAATTATTAAGTTCAGTGAAGTTAACCTGTTTACTTAATTTTTGTAAATACTAAAGCTGCGTAATTTCTTACAGTGCACATCGATTAATGCTGGATACCTGACTCATGATCCTTTTTTTAAGACTGCAGATTTCTATTTGTTAACATTACCCTCACCACACTGGGAAAGTGGAATAAAGGTTTTTACGCTTGTTGAAATATACAGTTACAGCGATTATAATTTTTTTTGGTGGTTGCTTAAGCTTGTTTTGTTGGACTGTTACACATTTAAACTTGCAATAAGGTCCAGTAGAAACCAAATCAGAATAGAAATTCCAGTGCAAACAGACTCCAATTTCCTTTTAATTTAAAAACAGATCGTATTAACATGAAACTAATGAAACTTGGTGTGGAATATTTGGCCTCTTTTCCATTGCAGGGCCAAACTGTTCTGAGCACGGAGGGTCACAGTTCTGGTGGACACGGACACGGTTTGATACAGATCACATAAAAAACCGGGCTCAGTGCTGTTTTTTTCGACATGGATAGCTAACTGCTACAGAACCGTTAGATGGGAAGACGTAACAATGTAGCTATTCGCTGATTGGTTCTATGTTTCTGTTTTGAGCTGCAGCATCCTGTGTAATTTCACACCAGAACAATCAAATAAGTTCACTTTGCTCACATGGACGCCAAATAAATGAAAGCGATTTCCAAATGTTAAACAGTGCTGCCAACCAGGAGAAAGTAGCTGGTTAGTGTTAGCATTGCTAGCCCGCTGCTAGCTCTGCTCACCACAGAACAAGTTTTATTCTGACTAACAAAAGCTTTTCTGACGCAAGTCTAGATGATAATAATACAACTCGGAGGAAGCAAAGTCAATGGCTGGTGTTAGAGGGACAGAAAGCCAAAATGAATACTGTTCTGTGGTGTGTGGAGCTGTACCTTCCTAGCTAACCTACTGCTAGCCAGCTCCTCTCTCCTAGCTAACTTAGCTAATGAGATCCAAGTAAGTGGATTAAAGATCACTGAAAACAAACTTTTGCAAAACCATGGTTTTGTGAACATACAAGCAATATAGCTATGAATACAGCGTAATAGCTGAATCTTTGATGAGCCAATTTTGAAGATTAAAATGCTTTAATGCATGTCTGCCTAAGGAAAGGGGTGCGGTGCTACATACAAAGGTGCTTTCACATTTCTAATAAGAATGGACACAGATTTCTCACTTTTCTGTTGGACAAAATTAGAGATGACCATGAATCTCTTAAGTGAAAGACATCAATACATTATGAATGTTGTAACTTGTACATGAAGTGAGCATTAAGTTTAACATATTTAGTGCTTTTCAAACCCGTGGATGCTTTACAAATCAGCAGCCCAGTTCCCAAGCTGGTAGGGCGAAACTCTTCTGAATGTGATGTATACTGTCCTGGCTCTGCGGTCTAGTCAAACTCAGCTGTCACAGTGTAAAGTCCCTGGCTCACAGCCTTATCAAACAAAGTTCCGTGGCTTGCCATCTCCCATACTTGCAGTCAAGCCAAGCTCAGTTCCACTGTGAAAATGAGTTTAAAAATGACGAAGGTTTTTTTTTCTTTTTTAAAAACTCTTTCTGTACTATGGTCTTAGACTTGACAAAGGTGGTTTTACTACAGCTCTTGTGGGACCTGTGCAAAAAAAACAGTGCACCATTATTAGGGCTGCTCAATTATAGCAAAAATCATAATCATGATTATTTTGGTTAGTATTAAGATTAGTATTAAGGTCAGACTCTGTCATCTTAGCTTAAGTTGAATTAAACATGCCGCAGCCTGGCTGTGAGTGAGTTTGGGATTTTAGGGAGGGGGAAGTGCACCACTGTAAAGAAAATAGCATCATTGCAAAGCATAACGCGACACAATAATCATTTTATCTCAATTTTGTGTTTTCATAATCGTTGGAAGCAAAAATCGTAATTAAATATAATATTTGATTTGCCACCCAGCCCTACCGCTTATTTGTATCTGTTTAGAAGGCATTATCTGTTAAATCTGAGTAGCAAGAGTTTTGTTTACTGACTGGCTTTGAAAAATTAAGTCAATTTTTTTGAATAAATAAATTATCGTTTGGTTGCTTTCACCCAACAAGAATGTTGTAGGCAGTCACTTGTTGTTCTTATCAGTCTTTCAGTCCTCATTGCTGGCAGGCTAATATTGTGTTTTCAGGTCGGGGACACCGGAGAGGTTTGTTTCAGTCTGTATACAGTTCCAGCAACTTTTCTTTTCAAATTTTGATGTATTCATATTTTTCTGTTACAAATAACAAAAACTGTTGTCTGGAAATCTGCTACATACATGAGTGCTTGTATTACCAGGCTGGGTAACGACATTAGAAAACATGACCATAAAATAATATTTATAAAAGAATTTATTTAGTAAAGAAAATGGTTCTGTATAGAACCGTGAACACTCAAAGAACCCTTTGCACAAATATTCAAAAATAGAAAAAAATGGCACTATCTACACAGCACACAGCACTATCTACAGGTCATTCACTAGATCTGTGTTATTAGGTTAAGTTTCCACACTTAAAACTTGTGTGTGTGTGTGTATACATTATATACATACACACATACACACAAAGTATAAGATAATCACTTTTATGTACATAATGAAACATTATATTTAACAGAAAATTACTTGAAAGCCTCCAACACTTTGAATAACAATTTATAAACAATCTCTATACCAATGAGCTGTGTCCTCCCAACAAAAGGTGTTCCCAGAAGTGTCATTGGCATTTTTGTCCTTCAAAGAAACTAACATGCACACAAGGAGCTACCTAAACTCACATAAGCTGACATTTTTTTTTTCTGTGAGTCCAAAATGGCTAAAATGGATATTTCTGAGAAGAATATAGAGAAGAATACATACAAGCTAATCCACTTGAATAAAGAATGAGAAATATCAGAAGAAAATAAGTATAATAATATTTTCCAAAACTGGCATTAAAAGCTACAGAGAAAATGTGACTCCACTTGGTATATCACCAAATGGTCACCCTTAGATAAACAGCACTTGAACTTTTCGTCTTTGAGAGGGAGGAGAAAATCAAGCTCCACCCTTTCTTGCTACATTTCAGGACCGTCCTTGTAATGTAATGTAAGTATAAGTACAATGAGAGAATGTGCATAAGTCATAACAACAGAGGACAACAATTTATGTCATGTTGCTCAGAGCCACAGAATTGAGCATTCCAACACCAAACGCTGCATAGAGGGGCTTAGTAAAAGTGGTGCAGAATGTGTAAATGTGTGTCAGTGTGGGTGTATCAGAGGAAACACCATAAAAGGACACAAGGCCTGCTGGCCAGTCCAGATACACGCCTACTTTTTTGAAGCGGGGGTATGTTATGGAAGGTATGGAAATTTCCAGAGAATTATGGAGGATGCTATACCTGTAACTAGAACAAATAAGATTCCAAGACACATCATTAAATCCAAGCAAACACAAAGAATTTGCTGCATCAAGAGCTTCACCTTTCCTTTTGATTTCTTCATATGTCACTGCTATTTCAGGTTCTCCTTCTGTCCACTCAGCCTCCCAGTAGAAGCGTCCAGTCAGACTCTCCTTAGAAAGCACCTGGTTACAGGTATCAAATCTGTCTGGATGTTCAGGATACTGCGTTGTTTTACCCACGTGTGTGAATTTCCTGTTCTCCTCGGACAGAAAGCACTGCACATGTATCGTGTTTGGGTCTAGGGTGAGCTTAGAGGCATCTGCAGGGCAGAAGAAGACCCATTATTCCACTGTTAGAGGTTAGCAAAAGAGAAACCAGAGATTGACGGAGCACGTAAAACTCACACTTTTTTATCCCTGGCCTGATGAATTTTTCATCATGTGGATCTAGCCTACAGAAAAAAGAATGTGACACTGAAACTGCAATAAATTTATTGTAATTATTTTGATAAAAAGGCAGCAACACGTAATACATTTATTTATTAATTATTCATTAGTAGCAATTCACTAAATTACACTACTAACTTCAGGATCTCCAGTTTGCAGTGTGGATCATCAAGTTTAGTGTTAAGTTCTCTCTCTCCTTTGTCTCCTGGGTAGTTGTAGCTCAGATCCAGCTCTGTCAGGTAGGAGGGGTTTAAACTCAGAGCTGAGGTCAGAAATAAACAGCCTTCCTCTGTGACTGAACACCCGGATAATCTGCATAAAGATAACACCATTCAATCAGACTTTCTCAGATTAAATATAGTCTTAGTTTGCATCATTAATATCAATATTTTGACATTATGCCTTCTTATAATCAGTGTTGATGTAATGGGGTATAAAGTAACATTACAGCAGTGACCTTTTTTCCTGGAACATGGCAGTATAACACATTACAGTTACAGACAAAATTTTGTTACTCAAGTTTCTCACATCTCTAAAAGAACAATGTTAAGTCAAAATTCATTTATGTAGCACTTTTACAACAGCAATTGTCAAAAAGCAGCTTCATAGAAAAATCGAAGTCCAAGCCCCAGTGAGTATCGCCGAAGGCAACAGTGGCATGAGAAACTCCCTAAGAGAACCAAATCTTAAGTGGGATTCAGACTTCAAATGGAACCCATCCTCCTCTGGTCCAAACCAGATAGCAAAACAATAACACACCAAGAGCAATATGAATAGAGAAAAAGATTTTAGAATAATATATAATACTGAATATAAAGGCAAGAAACCTGCTTGTCATTGGACAGAAATATTTACACTAACCAGTGATAACTGATGACTACTATTAGAGGCCTATCAGGGTAAGAATGAGAAACAGATCTAAAAAAAAAAAATCACTGTTACCAGTGACAGCCAGTGACCACTGTTAAAAGCATTTCATGGTGAAAATGGAAGTTACATCCATGAACATCAGTGACTACTGTGAGAAGCCTATCATGATATGTTAGGGGTGAATATGTGAAGAGTTTAGTGTATTGTGAGACTATTTATGATGAAATAGTTCTAGTTGAAGCCTGTGGATTCTACAACTAATATTCAATTACAACATAATTTTTTTCTATGTAGGTTATCTAAGCTTGTCCTTGTATGTCATTTACATGCACATGTGCTACCTGCAACAGCTGACTGCGTAGATTTGATTGTGAATGTAAGCAGTGCAGTGTGAGTTCAGGAAGTGCCATAAAACTAAGGTGGCTGTTTTTGGACCAGTGGCTAGTTTTTTGGTTTTGAAAAGCAATAGCAGTGCATAATTTTAATTATAATTTTATAATTTGCTGTTTCTTATTCATGGCATGGATATTGACAGGGCTTGTAAATCATGTTTACTGTGATTGGCTGTTTACAGTTGCTACTGTGCGCTTGATGAGAAACAAAAACAGTGAAATCTCCAGTCCTAAATGAACTTTTACAGCATTTGTTTGTATCTGTAGGAGTTCACAGGCTGTTAATTTAATTTTACGGTGGGCTACCACCTCAGAATCTTCAGTTTACAATGCTGTTTCTCCAGTCCAGCGGAAAGCAGCTTCACTCCTGAATCCTGCAGGTCATTGTTACTGAGATCAAGCTCCTTTAGAGATGACTCAGAACTAGTCTTCAGTATTAAGTAAATGGACTGGCAGCTCTCTTCTGTAAGGTTACACCAGTGCAACCTATAATACAAATAGAACACAATGTACAAAAATAAAATTAGACTGCAGTGGTCTGCAAAGTGTTAAACCCCTATATTTATTGGAAAATAGTACAAAAACAACATAGCACATGTTGGAAGTAGAAATTACTCTGGGAACCAATTGCTGTAGTTTTGAAAGTGAAATGTTTTCCTGTCCTTGCTCGTCGTGTTTTTTGTTGCATAAAATGTTTTCATTGGGTGACAGGTCTGGACAGCAGACCAGCCCAGAGGACATGGTGAGGACACTTTTCCACTTTGCCTTGATCCATCTTAAGTGAGCTCAGACAGTTCACAGACAGTGGTTTTCAGAAGTTTTCCTGAGCCCATGCAGTGATTTCCACTACAGATTTTTCATGCAGTTCTACGTAATGCAGTGCCGCCTGAGGGCTTGAAGATCACTACCAGCCAGTATTAGTTTTCGGCCTTCTCCCTTGCATACAGAGATTTCTCCGGATTCTCTGAATCTTTTAATGAGATTATGCATGGTAGATGATGAAATCCCCAAGTTTTTTGCTATTTTACGTAGAGATGCATCATTGTTCAATTGTTGCAATTTGCCCATGCCGTCTTTCACAGAGTGGTGAACCCCTTCCCTTTTTTTTTTTATACCCCTCGTTACTGACCTGTTGCCAATTTACCTGAATAGTTGTGTGATGTTCCACTAGGTGTTTTTTTTAACCATTACACAATTTTACCAATCTTTTGTTGCCTTTGTCACATTTTTTTTATTTTGTTACTGGCATCAAATTCAAAATGGGCATGTAGTTTCAAAAATAAGTTTCAGCATTTGATGTTGTTTTTGTACTTTACATTTATGGCATTTGGCAGGCGCTCTTATCCAGAGCGACTTAGAAGTTGATCAGTTTTTACACGGGTAGGCAAAGGTAGTGTTAGGAGTCTTATTGGTATAGTGTAGGGTGCTTGCCGAGGCCGAGGCCGAACCCCAGTCTGCAGCGTGGAGGTCAGCAGTATTACCCACTACACTACACCAACCCAGTATACAATCTTCAATTAAATTATTTGCACAATTTATCAATTTTGCACAGCGTCCCACTTTTTGGGAAGCAGAGTTGTAAAATGATTAATGGAGTCATACTAGGGCGCACTAGGGTGATGTTTATTTAAAATAATTTTAATAATAAAAATCATTTAAATAATAAAAGATAATAACACTTTCCTCAGAATTTCCAATCTGCAGCTCTTCAGGCCAAATAAAAGCTGTTTTAATCCAGAATCCTGAAGGTCATTATTGCTGAGATCCAGCTCTTTCAGTTGATGTAGTTTTGAGTTGATCGCAGAAGCTAGTTCTTTGCAGCTGACATCAGTATAATGACATCTGGCCAACCTGGAAACAGTAATTATATTAGACATTTTATGCTAATTTCAAATTAGTTTTAATAAAAATTGTGAAATTCTGTAAAAAGCTGTGTTATATTTGTACTGACTTTAGTTTCTCCAGTTTACAGTGCAAACTCTTCAGTCCTTCAGAAAGCAGCTTTGCTCCTTGCTCAATCCAACAATTATCACTCAGGTCCAGCTCTTTTAGTGGGGAGTTTTCAGTCTGCAGAGCTGCAGATATAGTTTCCCAGCAGGTTTCACTAAGCTCACAGCCAGCAAACCTGTAAAGACAGAAATCTAGCGCTATTAAAAATTAATAAACTTAATAGAAATTCATTAGTGAGTTGTAATGTAACATAATATTGTAGTGTCCACAACAGGCCGGGTGATAGATATCACTAAGATGCAGCTGTTTGGCACCAGAGGAGAAAGCACTATAGGTGCTTGTCGATCTGCTGCACAACATGATGACCTAGCGGCGTTGACCACGGCCCTCCAGGTATGCTTTGAGTGGGTGCCGGTGGCATGATCAGTCAGGCAGCTCCTCCTGGAGAAGCAGAGGCTAAAAGGTGAGCGGATAAGCATGCTGGCAGCAGACCTGAGCATAATGGTTTGACAGGCATACTTGGCATTCGAAAAGGCTATTCAGGAAGAGTTGGCACTGGAACACTTCCTGAACGTGCTGCTGCCAGAGGAGCTGAGACAGCATGTGTGGTCTGCCTTCATGCAGCTGCCGCCAAGGCAGAGAGGGCAGAACTCATCCTTGGCGTACAAATGCTGCAGTGAGCAACACAGTGCAATAGCAGAGCAACTAGTGTGCTGGCAGTGCAGGAAGAGGAGACACTGCACTGGTCAGTACTGCAAACCTGAGCTGGCAGAGACATGGAAGCCAGCCAGGAAAATTGACTGCCACTGCGGACGTTACGTTGAGTGCAGCGTAGATGGGAAAGGGCTACATGCCCCCATTGACTCAGTGCTATGTCCAAGAGTGCTTCCAAGCACCAAGAGTGGCACGTCTGCCAACTAGCAAGCGAGGATCATCTAACTCAAGTCTGTCAACAGTGGCTGAGTCAATGTCAGAGAGAGGAGCCGTCTCCCAGTTGTGGTGGGGTCCAGAGTCAACTGCATGTGTTTTGGCTGAAGCCTATGCAGTATGTGTGCAGACTTGGTTTGGACTTCCTTATGGCAGCCGGGGCTGTGCTCGACCTTGGGAAGGAGACACTTTGCTTGGAGACTGGACAAGTAAAGCTAGTTGTGGTGACTAGAGCAGAGACATAGCAGGGGCTCCCTGGCAGTGTGGCCTTCGTTCCCCTATTGGGGAAGTTGCTGGTTTGGGAGGAATAAGAGACCCTTATTAGTCCTACAATGGGGACATTTCACCTTCCCATTTAACCCGTCCGTGCAGTAAAACACTACATACATACTAGTGAACACACACACTAGGGGGCAGTGAGCACACTTGCCCGGAGAGGTGGGCAGCCCTACCTGCAGCCCCCACGTAGCAGTTGGGGGTTAGGTGCCTTACTCAAGGGCACTTCAGTCACGTACTGTTGGCTCAGGGAATCAAACCGACGACCTTCCTGTCACAGGGCTGGTTCCCTAACCTCCAGCCCATGACTGCCCAGGAATAGTGTCAGAGCAGGTTGGTGGATCACTTGGGGTGAGGTGCGCTGTCAGGTCAAGGGCACCATGGCTTTTCATAGGTAAAGCCTCCAATGCTGGATGAGCTGAACATGCAGTGCTAGCGCTGGCGGCGGAGAAAGTAGAAGGAGGCTGAGAGGAGTGCTACTGTTGCTGTCGTTGCCCTGTAGCACAGGACATGACACTGTAAGCTGTGACAAGTTCCACCGCACCCATAATGAGTACATGGAGCTTTCTTAGGCACACACATGGCTCCAGGCAGGACAGAAACCACATTGGGCAGGATAATGGGCTTAGCTAACATACTTTGTCTCGGTTGGGCCAGCCTCTGGATGCACAACGAGATGCTGTACCATGTGTGGGTGGAGCCAGGGAAGTGTGTGTAACAGTTGCTGGTGCCACATAGCCTGAGAAAGACGGTGCTGGGAATGTTGTATGAAGTGACTGGTGTGGGGTACCTAGACACGGTCAAGATGCAGAAGCAATTGCTGGCTAGGCTGCTGCTCAAATATGTACACTGCTTTTGCTGGCCCGGCTAGTTTAAAGAATTTGTTCAGACAATTTGTTGTGTGAGTCACCAGGACAGCCGATCTTTGAGTGTGGGGCTGTGTGGCATCCACCACAGGCCATGCTCTCATGGCGAGCTTTGGAGTTTTGGCTGTGTCCATGGAGGGTGGGTTTTGTGGGAGTTTGTCTACCCAAGCACTGGGGCAGCACTGAGCTGGGCATTTCTTACTGCGTGTTGAAGTGCCTGAAAATCTTTCACAATCTTTTGTTTTAAAAAAAAAAAAAAAGATTATTTGCTTGTATGCGCAATGTTTTTCACGTCTTCATTTTTTTGCACTGATACTAAAAAGTAATGTTTTGTATGTGTTGGAGAAATAAGGACTGGGATGCTCAGCCCATGTTTTAAGATAACTTGAAAGTTGAAAATTGTCACAAGTCCATAAAGTGATACTGGTTTTAGTAATTTGCATTTAAGTCAAAATGGACACATAATTGAACGTATAATGTATAAATAACTACAAATCAGGACGTAAAGTCTATTGAACTATGCATTTGTAGAAAAAGTCTTAAAAGCTAAATACTTAATAACTGGGACCCTTGTACAAAAGCTTCAACAGTACTGACAAGTATCTTTCTTATTTTTTGTAGTAGACTAATAAATTCATGTAAAAAAAACTGTGGTGGACAAGATACACATGGAGCCAGCCCCAGATGATCAGAGGTGGATAAATGGTGATGATTTAAACCCCATCTTTAGTTTCATTATTTTATTATATTATAGAGGCTACACTTCGGTGGGAGTGTGAGCAAAGGGCAAGAGGGCAAGTGACCCTTAATACAAGAGACAGCTGCAATCTAGACTACGTGAACTTAAGGGAAGTTTGTTTTGATAGTTTTTTTGCATTAATAAATCAAATTCACTCACTTCCTGTGTGCTCTGCTGTATTCTGTGTAACTGTCACACACATTTTTATACTAGCACTCACAGAACTCTACTGCATCTCCTCAGCTTCTCCAAACAAAAGTTAAATATAAAAAAACTCACACAGCTTTCCTGCAGCACCTCACAGCTGGTACCAGTCTTCTGCAGGCATCATTTGATTTGTTGTATTTCTTTGGATTGAACTCATCCAACACTTCCTCCGACATCAACAGCATGTAGGCCAGAGCTGAGCAGTTTGATAAGGAGAGTTCTTTATCTGGGAATGCCTGTACATTAAGATATTTCTTGATTTGATTATACAGGGATCTGTCTTTCAGTTCAAGCAGGCAGAAGAAGTGATTGATGGATATTTCAGGTGATAAATCAGGACCCTTATTCTGCATTTGTTTTATGTGTTGGATAGTTTTACTGATGCTCTTTTTGGTGTTCTCTGTGTGTCCCAGCAAGCCTTGTAGCAGTTTCTGATTAGATTCATGAGAGATGCCTAGGAGGAAACGTAGGAACAGATCTAAATGGCTGTTCTCGCTCTGCTTGGCTTTGTCAATTGCCTTCTTTAATAAGAGATCCAACGGAATGTTAACAGGAGAGCCGTCATCAATGAAAAATTGTAGTTTATCCATATCCTTTTGCAGGTAGCAGTAGAATACATGGAGAGCAGCAAGGAACTCTTGAACACTCAAATGAATAAAGCAGTAGACCTTCTCCTCATGAAGTATAGACTGCTGCTTGAAGATTTCCGCACACATTCCACTGTACTCAGTGAAGTCTTTACTGACATCAATGCCACATTCTTTCAGCTCATCTTCATAGAACATTATGTGCTTCTTTGTTAGTTGTATAAATGCTAGCTTGGCCAGTTGCTTGATTAATTCTGTGTTGTCTTTCATGAGCTTCCGCAAGTCTCGCTCAAATTTCTGTTCATACTTCTGGTTCTTTGTGTTTATTTGTATAAGCAGAAAATGAATGTACATTTCAGTCAGCGTGGTGGGAATGTCTTCTCCCTGGTTTTCCACCAGTATTGTCTGAAGCACAGTAGCAGTGATCCAACAGAAGACAGGGATGTGGCACATAATGTACAGGCTCCGAGAGGTCTTAATATGGGAGATGATTTTAGAAGCTTCAGTCTCATCTGGTATTCTCTTTTTGAAGTATTCCTCTTTCTGTTTATCAGTGAACCCTCGCACCTCTGTGAATAGGCTCACATACTCTGAAGGGACTTGATTGGCTGCTGCTGGTCGGGAGGTGATCCAGATTACGGAAGAAGGAAGTAAATCTCCTCGAATTAGATTTGTAATCAGTACATTCACAGTTGCTTTCATTTTGACTCTACTTACAATGCTACTATTAAAATCCAGCGGAAGTCGGCTTTCATCAAGCCCATCAAAGATGAATGCAAGCTTGCAGTTTTCATACGTTTTTGTTTCCTTCAGTTCTTCCAGTTCAGGATGGAACTCTAGGAGTAGCTCATGAAGACTGTACTCTCCAGGATTAATTAAATTAATCTCTCGGAATGGAAGAAAAAAAACGCAGTCTATATCCTGGTTTGCTTCTCCTTCTACCCAATCTAGAATGAATTTATGTACAGAGACTGTTTTCCCAATGCCAGCGATGCCTTTGGTCAGCACGACCTTGTTCTCTTCATTTTTCCATGGTAAATTGAAGATGTCATTACAGTTGATTGGAGTGTCCTGAGGTTTTTGAGTCCTAAAATCTTTGTCAATCTTCAGCATCTCACGTTCATTATTGACTTGTATAAGTTTCCCTTCTGTAATGAAGAGCTGTGTGTAAACCTTCTTCAGCTGTGTTTTATTGTCCTTCTTGCCTTCAAAAATGCACTCAGTTTTCTTCTTCATTTTGATTTTGTGACACTCAAAGAATTTCTGTAGAACGGAACCATCTGTTTGGCACAAAAGAAAGGAAGGTTTGAATAATCAAAAAATAACTGATTATATTGACTCACTTTGTGGAAAATCAAATGTAATTAAAACCAAATGCAGTGGAGATAGTTTGATCATTGGTAAGACAAATTTTTACCATTAACAAAAAAGGAAAAAATAAATTGGAGATGTAGGTGGTAATCAATTGACTTTTGTATGAAGAGTAGTTGTTGTTTTGATGCTGAGATGATTGTACATTTATTTCTCTGAAGAAATAGGAGTCATGACTAACCTTAAATAAATAAATAAAAGTGGACCCCTTATTTGTTTTAAAATCTGCCTAGGCCAACTTTTTAATAGTCCTCAAGACTCACTGCATCTAAACTGGTAACTGATGAGACTAAATGTGAGACAGTCAATAGGGCCTGATGTACTTCTTTAGTGTATCTTTATAGGCTACTTGCCTATGTTATTTTAATTGCCACTTCATTCAAAATATGAGAGTTACTTAACATTAACAAAAAAGTCCACTCCTGTCTATTTTATATAATTAGCTATTAAGGCCTACTGTATATACTTCACTTCAGACAGTGTCCACTTTTTTTCAGATAGTGTGTCCATTTTCAAAGATTGACCAGGGAAAGCACTACCCCTTGTCATAGTAATATTGATTTCAAATTTGGGCATTATTTTCAAATGCACTTGCAACATGACACAATAAATAACATTTTTACTTTTCATATTAATAATTCTAGTGTTATAGGGCTGCATTATTGGTGCAGACAAACATGGCGAATTTAAACAGTTGCCCTACATCATCCATGCCCCTGATTGAGACAGAAGCAGAGATTACTGTTGTTATGTCAAAAGTATAATAGCGTACCACTGCTGGCAGGACTGGGAGTGGTAGGGTTGACACTGATGTGTACTGGGCCTGAAAAAGTGTTGCTACTGAATACAGCAGCAGTTGCAGTGCCGCCATGCTCAACATTCACAGCAACAGAATGTCCAGCAGGAATAGTGGCAGGAGTCTGAACCGGAGCTGTCTGCACTGAACTGGGAACCACATTTAGATGATCTGGATGTTCTGTCAGCTTCCTCTTGATGTCCGACTGATTAAATTGGTTGTGTGTTGTGTTTGGGTCACATGTGAGCACTGAAGCATCTGGCGGAGAAAAATAAATGTATTATTCTGTTGGACAGTGGTGTTAAAACTATATTTACTCTCCAATTCAAGGAACTTTGTATGAAATGTTTTTTTTAATGACGTATGACTTACTAATTATTGTATGTAACTTAATAAGCAGGTGGAAGGGAAATTATTTTAAACTGCAGAGTGTATATAGACGTCTGACTTCCGGTGTGAGTACGCTGTGGTCTTGATGCATCACATTTTTTATATATTGTATTGTTTCTGAGTGAGTGCTTGGATTTTCCCTCGTTGGCCACCGGCTTAGATACTTTCCCTTGCTGGTAAGGTATGTGCTTGCTGATGACTGAGAGACATTCTGTCATGGCTAAGAAGTTTGCTTGCCGATGGCTGAGAGACGTTACCTCATGGCTGTATAATTTGCTCATTGTCAGTCAAGAGGCTTTTCCTCACAGCTTAGTAGAATGCTCGCCACTAGCTGAAAGACTTAGCCTCATGAGTAAGGAGTTACTTGCAACAGAATTCTTTTGGGTACTAGTCAGCGTACTACATAGCAGTGAAGGAAAATCTCTTGGTCAGTGGTAAACAGACACTTGCCACGAGTGAAACTCGCTTGGCTGGCACCGGACCAGTAACAGCACTTAGACTTAAGGCAGAATTTGGCAGTCTGACTTGTTGGACAGGTGGCATTCTGTGACACATTTAAAAGTCACTGAGCTCTTCAGTAAAACCCATTAAACTGCTGATTTTTTTTGTGTGTGAGGTATGCTGAAGTTTGTGCGCCTGGGTAGAAAACCTGGGTGTAATCTTTTTTGAGCTCAGTTTTAACCTGCATGTCAGTGCAGTCATGAAAGTAGCTTTATATCATTCAAGAAATACTGCTAAAGTTTGGCTTTTTTATCTCACAGTGATGCAGAGAAGCTTGTTAATGCATCTGTTACAAGCAAAACTGATTACTGCAATGTTTTTTAATACCAGGATTCTTAAGAAATCAACCTCGTCCAACCATCCTTAACAACCTGCACAAAATGCATCATATGAGTCTCGTTTTGAAATAAAGATTTTACAATTCTGTTTCTAGTTTTTAGTGCTCTAAATGATCTAGCGCCTGTGCACCTCACAGCATGTCCGTATGTTTGTTTCAACGTGATCTTAGATCTGCAGATACTGGCCTACTGCAGATACCTTCTGTAAAATACAGAAAACATAGGGAGGCATCTTTCAGTTATTATGCTTCTAAAAATTAGAACTTAATTCTACCTTCTAGTAAACAGTCAAGCTCAGTTTACATTTGAGAAACATTTGTAAGTTAAATCTTAACATACCATTTGATTAAAACTACTTATCATTATTATTATTATTATTATTCTTATACTCTATATTATTCTTATTATTATACTCACTAATTAAAGGGATGTTGACATATACATGAATGTACATTACACTTTCCAATCTCATCTACATCATCTTGCCCACTGAGAGGCTTTATAGTTAAGGAGTTTGCTCATGACTGACTGACAGACTTGCCCTGTAAAAGAAACAACAACAAAAAAAACAGAATTACTCATTCTTGCCACATCATCTGGATAAAATCCTGTTTCACCTGTATTGGAGTGAATGTTTATGGTCTGGGTTAGACCTCTCTTTCTCCAGACCAGTGTTGACAAAATGACCAGTACCAAAGCCAGCAGCAGCTCAAGAAAAGTCAGCATTTTTTGTTTCTGAAATACAAATAATAATAATAATAATAATAATAATGAGAAGAAGAAGAAGAAGAAGAAGAATGATAATAAATAAAAATTAGTTGTAATAATAAATAATAAACCTCAGTAATACAAGATGTAGGTGTGTTTATGTTTATATGCAGAATTCTTCGCTAGTGTCTTATTTACCATGTTACCACTTTTATCCCAATCCTATAATTGACAAGTCTCTCACTTTTCAAAGTGCCATGAATTCCAAGGCTACCTATTTACACCTACGTATTTAGGCAGTTATTCACAAGCATATTGTGCCTTTTCAAAAGTCAGAAACGAAGGGGAAAATGATGCTCAATTTCATGCTAATGTACACAAGCTCAAACACATAGGGAAGCTCTAGCCTTCTGATTTTCCATAATTCATTGCAGAGGAAGAGCAAGTAGACATATGTTCACATGCAGTAGTCATGTTTACAAATGGCAAAAGTTTGTCTTCAACAATTTGTTTTGATAATACATTAGGCAACTTTATAATGCTTTATCATAGCCCATGTCATTCCGTTGTGTTATTAGTAAAGAGTAACCTTGGTTCAGATGAAGGCAAAGGCGAACTATTAAATCAACTGCCCCTATATTACATGATCTACTAGAATCCTAAAGTTTGTGTTACCTTGGCCTTTGTCTTCAGTGTCTTTATTCTGTAAGCATCTTCAGTCTTCAATGGCCACACTAGTCCTTCTCATCATTTCTGTTCGAATATCTTAGCACTGAATAGTAACGCATTTACTTTAACCTAATAATAAGTCATGTCCATGTTTGAAGCTCAGACAGTGTGGCTGCAGCTTTATCAGTGAACTTCGCCAGAAAGAAAAGAACAAGTTTAGGCAGATTTCAAGGAATGTCTTGTGAAGCAAATCTGTTTTATGATCTTTATGTAAGCCTGGCACCAGAACAAGTTTGTTGGGCAGGCTATCATTTAAGGGGGAGGGGGCAAAAAAATAGATGTTCACAGCAAAATGGAGGAAAAAAACAACACCAGCAGAATTAGACTTAAACTGCTAAGCATTCTAAACTAAAGCACACTGCCATCATAAAAATCTTGTCTCTGACGACAGTCTTTAATGTAAGTAAAGTACACAGAACATTAAAGATGACAACACAGGAACTTCTTTATTACATTTTTGTATAACTTTTTTTTTGACATTTTTGCGTTGTTTTTTTACTCAGTTTTTGCTCACTAAATACATGCGCAGCTCTGTCATGCTGTTGAGTCTTGTTTTACAGGTATATTTAACTGTATCTACAGCTTCACATCAGTAACAAATGCTGTATGCTGCTAAATAATTGAAAGAATGACTGGGCAGATAGCAATGATTGCTTAGCATTGGTTGTAATTTATATGCAGTTCACTAGATTTGGATGTAAATACCCTCGAAGCTGAAAGCTCGTATTCATTATTGAACCTCAACTTAAGTATTCTGTTGTAAACAGCTAAAATAATAAGTTTGTCAACATCCAAGTGTTTATGGACCTGGCTGCATTTACCAAATAAATATTTGCTAGTAATGTGCACTTCATGAAATGGGTTTCTATGGCTGAGCATCTACACTCAAGCCTAAGATCAAAATGCACAATGTGAATCACACTTCTCTGTCTGTCAGTCTGACGGACGAGTCTGGGTTTGGTGAATGTCAGGAGAACCTTACCTGCCTGACTGCATTGTGCCAGCTGTAAAGTGTGGTGAAGGAGGGATAATGCTATGGGGTTAGACCCCTTAGTTCCAGTGAAGGGAACTCTTAATGCTTCAGCAGACCAAAACATTTTTTAAACAATATTGAATTGAAAAGAGTACAAAAACAAGATATGTAATGTTTCAACTAATTTTTATTAATATTAATATATTGTAGAAAATTTATAATATTATTAATATTATTATATTGCAGAAAAAACTAATGTTTTTTCCAGTATCATGCAGCCCTAATGGAAAGCATACTAATTTTTCAGATTTTGAAATAACACAAGATGAGACCGCAAAAAGTATTATAAATGACTTCAGTCACCTTTGTGAATTTTTTTTTTTTTTTAAACACAAATACTGTCATATAAGGTATACCCTGGTGAAATGTCAGGAAGGTATGAAAAAATAGATAGCGAGACCAAGATTTACTTGACCCTCTCCCTAAACAGCTATGGTCCCCTTGACTCATTTTGTAAGGGCCTTGATCACATGACTACCTGGATGGGACAAAACATTCTGAAGCTTGGTGTACTAATGGACTCCAGTCTCAGTTTTAGCAGTCACTAAATCAGCTTTTTATCACCTTAAGAATGTCAACAAGATCAGAGGTTTTCTGACTAAACCAAACCTGGAGAAACTCACTTACACCTTTATTTCTAGCAGTTCTCACTGCAGGAGTAAGTAAAGGGAACACATCACCCCTATTCTTTACACTGGCTACCAGTCTGTTCCAGAATAGGTTTTAAGGTGATGTTGCTGCTCTATAACTGTCTTAATGGTGCAGGAGCAGCACATTTATCTGATCTGCTGCAGCGATATGAGCCGAGCCGAACTCTCAGATCATTAGGAACTGGTCAGTTAGTCCTGCCGAAGGTAAAGACTAAACATGGAGAAGCAGCGTTTAGCTACTGTGCTACTTTTAAATGCACCCAGTTTAAAGAGAGCATTAGAAGAGTCCAGACACTGGACACTTCAAATCCAGGCTTAAAACGATCACGTTTGAGCAGCTTTCAGCTCCGTTTAAAACACTGTTGATTCTACTACACTTCTCTCATGTAACACCACTCTATTATTTAATTCAAATGAGATTTTTAATTTTGTGTTTAATTTCTTCTCTTTTAATCATGTTTTCTGTTCTCCTACATCTTTTTCCATTGTAATTATCTCTATTTTCTCATCTGTGAAGCTCAGTATATGAAAGGTACTATAAAAATTAACTTGCTCTGTTTATAGTCATAACATCTTATAATATTTAGATGTCATATTTCTGCTATATTGACCAACCCTAAGATGCATTTTACTGCCAAGTGTAAATGCATATGGATGAAATCTTATGAGAATACCATCCAGATACTAGACACATGAAGTGACCAAGTGTAAACAAGGTCATTAGACAAGTGGAAATTGGTCTGTCCTCATGACCTGAAGGGATGCTTTGATTATAAAAGACGAGTTGGAATTCCCCATCGCTGCTCTTTACTTTTCCTTTCTGTTAATCTTGTGTGTTGTGTGAATTAGTAGTGGGTTGATAGTCATTAGAGGGGTTAGCCTGTCATTTGATCACAACAAAACAGCCTTTTTTGCAATACGCCACTGCGTAAAGAAACCTCAGCACGTCTGTAATAAAGTAATGTGGAGTAATCAGACAAAAATGTACCTTCTGTTTGGAGAGGAATCAAAATATACCATCGCTACCATGAAGCACGGAAGTGGATCTCTGCTGTTTTGGTGGTGCAAGTGCTGTACAGGAAATGTAGTCAAAACTGATAGCAAAACAGCCATTTTGCTGTCAACCACATTAGTCCCGGAAGCTGTGAATGGGGCACGCTTAGACTTTCAACTGTGCTTGTGTGCTTGTGTATGTGTGTGTGTGTGTGTGTGTGTGTGTATGTATATATATATATATATAGTGTCTTCCACAAATAATGGCACACTTGGTAATCATGAGCATCATGAGCTATAAAAAAAATATTTTTAATTGCTTATTCTTTTCCAACCTTTTTCTATATTTTTCTGAAGTACAATAATTGGAAAAAATCTTAAATCTTATCAGAAAATCCTTCATTTAATACTCTGTGCAACTTGCCTTTGCAAAGATAACAGCTCTGAATCTTCTATAACGCTTAATGAGACTGGAGAACACACGGCAAAGGATCTGAGCCCATTCCTCCATACAGAACCTTCAGACTGTGGACTCTCTTTTTCATCTTGTCATCAGCTTTTCTGTGGGGTTTAGGTCAGGGGACTGAGGTGGCCATGGCAGAACATTAATCTTGTGGTCAGCCATTTTTCTGTTCATTGTGAGGTGTGCTTTGGATCATCGTCTTGCTGGAAGATCCAAACTATGGCCCAGTTTTAGCTTCCTGGCTGAGTCAGGTTTCAATTTTATTTTTGCTTTGTTTTGGTAGTTGATGGAGTCTGTAATCCCATTTATCCGAATAAATGGTCCAGGGCCTTTAAAAGAAAAACAGCCCCAGAACATCACAAATCCACCACAATGTTTCACAGTGGGGATGAGGTACTTTTCTGCATGACTGTTTTTGTGTCCATGCCAAACTCGCCTCTGATGTTTATTGCCAAAAACCTCTGTTTTGGTATTGTTTGCCCATCGAACACGGACCCACTGAAAGTTCCAGCAACGTCTGGCAAATTGTAGGTGCTTGAGTTTGTTGGTCTTTGACACCAGAGACTTTTTTCCTGGCATCCAAACAACTTGTGGTTATAAAGGTGGTGTTTGGCTGTAGTTTGGGAGATGTTCTGATCCCAAGACCTAACTAATGTCTGCAATTCCCTATCTGTGATCCTTGGAGATTCTTTGTCCACTCGAACCATCCTCCTCACTGTGCATGGGGTCAGTATAGACATATGTTCTCTTCCCGGCAGATTCTTAACATCTCCTGTTGTTTTAAGCTTTGTAATTGTTGTCCTGCTCCTGGAAATGGATATTTTCAACTGTTATTTTCTCGTAGCCGTTTCCTGATTTGTGCAGCTCAGTAATCTTTTGTCACATATCATTGCTGTTTTCTCTGGTCTTTCTCATAGTGATGGATGACTGAGGGAAGTTGGCCTGTGTTTCATTTCATATAGCTTCCCCAGGGAATCAAGAAGTCATAGCTGCCCAGTGTAGTGCTCCTAACCACTCAGGTGAACTTATAAAACAAAAACTGAATAATATATACTGGGAATATATACGTTAATTAGATTTCACTCTTAAGCATTTCTAGGGGTGACGGTAATTGTATCACACACAGATTTTTAAAAAAATATCTTTTTTTAATGACAATTTTGTTTTTATGTCAATTATTATACCTTAAATAAAGGTTACATTTATGCTAATATTTTGAATGAAAAATCAAAATTAAGAATACTTTTTACAGCTCGTTTGGGACATGTGTAAAATGCAATAAAAACAAGACTCTGTGATGTCCTAATTTTGATCAACCTTTATTTATCTGACAGAAGTACAAAGAAGAGATTTCCAATGTTTTCACTGACCAACTTATTGTATTTTGTAAATGCTTGACACAAGACTTCAGCTGCTCAACAGTCTGCAGTCATCATTGTCTGATTCTCTTCATGATGTGCCATACGTTTTCATCAGGAGTCAGATCTAGACTGCAGGCAGGCTGGTCAAGCACACACAGTCTGTGTCTGCGGAGCCATGCTGTTGTAGCACATGCAGAATGATGCCTGGAATTGCCTTGCTGAAACAACCGTGGACTGCCCGGGAAAAGATTTCATCTTAATGGCAGCAAATGTCTCTCTAAAATCCAAGTATAAGCCTTGGTGTCCTTGGTACCTTCAGACATATGCAAGTCACCCATTCTGTGGGCACTGATGCACTCCACACTATGACGGATGTTGGCTTTTGCATCTTGGGCTGATAAAGATTTGGATGGTCACTTTCATCTTTGGCACGGAGAACGTGACATCCATTTTTCCCAAAAATAAGCTGAAATGTGGCCACAGCACACATTTGCACTGTCTTTCGGACCATCAGAGATGAACTTAAATTCTTTGCAATCAAATGTTGAG